ACAGTGCATTGTTCACCCATCCATCACCCAAAGTAAAGTCTCTTTCCTTTGCATTTATCCCCTTTTGCCTTCTTCCACCTCCCCTCAACCCCTTTCCCTCTGGCTATCACCATACTATTGTGTGTATTTTTTATTTTTATTTTTTGCTTAATACCTTCACCTTTTTTTCACCCAGCCCCCCAACACTCCTCCCATCTGATAGCTGTCAGTCTGTTCTATGTATCTATGCTTTTGTTTCTTAAATTGTTTTGTTCATTAGATTCCACATATAAGTGAAATCATATGGTACTTGTCTTTCTCGACTGGTTTATTTTACTTAGAATAACATTCTCCAGGTATATCCAGGCTGTTGCAAAAGGCAGGATTTCCTTTTTAATGTCTGGGTAGTAGTATTCCACTGTGTAAATGTACCATGGCTTTTTTTTTTTTAATCCATTCATCTACTAATGGGCACTTGGGCTGTTTCTAGATCTTGCCTATTGTAAATAATGCTGCAATGAACATAGGGGTGCATCTATTCTTTCAAATTAGTGTTCTGGGTCCCTTCAAATATATTCCTAGAAGTGGAATCACTGGGTCAAAAGGCAGTTACATTTTTAATTTTTTTGAGGAAACTGCATACTGTTTTCCACAGTGGCTGCACCAGTCTGCATTCCTTACAAACAGCGCATGAGGGTTCTCTTTCCTCTTCATCCTTGACAGCCATTCTGACAGACGTGAAGGGTTACCTCATTGTAGTTTTAATTTGTATGTCTCTGATGATTAGTGATGTTGAGCATTTTTTCATATGTCTATTGGCCATCTGTATGTCCTCTTTGGACAAGTATCTATTTAGTTCCTTTGCCCATTTTTAAATTGGATTGTTTTCTTGGTGTTGAGTTGTATAAGTTTTTTATATATTTTGGACATTAACCCCTTATCAGATGGTTATTGGTGAATATGTTCTCCCACACAGTGGGTTCCTTTTCATTTTGTTGATTGTTTCTTTTGCTGTGCAGATGAAGTTTCTGTTTAGTTTGATGTAGTCCCACTTGTTTATTTTTTTCCTTTGTTTCCCTTACCTTAGGAGATATATTGGCAAAAATACTGCTACGAGAAATGTCTGAGATTTTACTGCCTACATTTTCTTCTAGAATTTTTATGGCTTTGAAACTTACATTTAAGTCTTTAATCTATTTTGAGTTTATTCTTGTGTATGATGTAAGCTGGTGGTCTAGTTTTTTTGTTTTTTGCACATATGTGTTCCATTTTCTGAACATCATTTATTGAAGAGACTATTTTTTACCCCATTGTATGTTCTTGCTTTCTTTGTTAAATATTAATTGACCATAAAGGCATGGGATTATTTCTGTGGCTCTCTATTTTGTTCCATTGATCTGTATGCCTGTTCTTATGCCAGCACCATGCTGTTTTGATTACTGTGGCCTTGTAGAATAGTTTGATATTAGCTAGTGTAATACTTTCAATGATGTTATTTTTTCCTATCCATAAACACGGCATATGATTTCATTTATTTGGGTATCCTCCTCAATTTCCTTCTTAATTATCCTATCATTTTCCAAGTACAGATCTTTTACCTCCTTGGTTAAATTTATTCCTAGGTACCTAATTAAAAAAAATATATATATATATATTTTTTGTTATTGCAATAGTAAATGGGATTGTTTTCTTAATGTCTCTTTCTGATAGTTTGGTATTGGGGTATTAAAATGCCACTGATTTATAAATATTAATTTTAATTCTTTTTCTTGTCTGATTGCTGTGACTAGAACTTCCAGTATTATGTTAAATAAGAGTGATAAAGGTGGACATCCCTGTCTTTTTCCTGTTCTTAAGGGAAACACTTAGTTTTTGCCCACTGAGTATAATGTTTGTCATATATGGGCTTTATTATGTTGAGGTAAGATCCCTCTATTTCTACTTTGCTGAGAATTTTTATCATAAATGGATGCTGGATTTTATTAAATGCATTTTCTCCATATATTGATAGGCTCATGTGATTTTATCCTTTATTTTTTTATATGATATATATCACATTTATTGATTTTCAAATATTGTACCAACCTTGCAACACCAAAATAAATCCCATTTGATAATAGCGTATGATCTTTTTAATGTATTGCTGGATCCAGTTTGCTAATATTTTGTTGAGGATTTTAGCATCTGTGTTCATCAGGGATACTGGTTACAACGTTCTTCCTTTGCAGCGTCTTTATCTGGTTTTGGAATCAGGATAATGCTGGCCTCGTTAAATGAGCTTGGGAGTTTTTCCTCCTCTTGAATTTTTTGGACCAGTTTGAGAAGGATAGGTGTTACTTCTTCTTTGAATGTTTGGTAAAATTCACCGTGGAGCCATTCTTGATTCCTCTCCTTTCAAGCCCTATATCCAATGCTTCAGGAAATCAATCCATTAGCTTTGTCTTCAAAATATGGCTGATGCTGACCACTTCTCTCATCTCCATTGCTCCCTCCTGAATCAAGCCACCATCCTCTCTGGCCTAAAATATTGCTATAATCCTCCTAGCTAGTGACAGTCCTTCCAGTAACCAGAGTGACCTTTCAGACACACACCTGATCATGTTGTGCCTCCGTGCAAAAGCCAAAGTTCTCACCAGACCCTTCACTCTCCACCCCTTTTACCTCACTTCCCCTGCTCTCCTCACCTGCTCCCTTCCAGTGACTGACCATCAGCCTTCCTGCTCTTCCTTGAACACACCAGATGTCTAGTGTTGGGGTTCTAAGCACGGGGGCCCTCTGTTTGGTATGTTCTTCTCCTAGTAGCCTCACAGTCAACTTCAAAGTCTCTACTCAAAATGCCACCTTCTCAATATATTTCTATTTACGTTACACTCACTCAAGAAGTTCCAACTCCTCTTACTCTGCTCTACTTTTTAATAGAATAAATATATTGTCTTTTAACATAGCATGTGATTCATTTTTTATGTTTCTTGTTTATTATTTGCCTTCTTTCTCCTCTCTCTCCCCGTAGATAGAGGTTTCTTGTCTGTTGTGTTCTCTGATGTATCTCAAGTACCCAGGGCAGTGCCCAGCACATTATGTATGATCAATGAATATTTGTTGAATAAATGAATGAACATACATATATCTCAAATATTAGCGTGGCTATAACTTTGTTGTAGACATACAGCAATCTAAGATGAAAAGGGGAATGATGCAGAGGACATTATGAGGTGGTGTTGATCTAGGGCCAGTTGAACAGAAAACAGTGTGACAGGCACTCAGATGAAGATGTAAGGTGTTAGCATAGGCTGGAGTGAGTCAGGAAGATAGAGGGACTTTACTGGGAGTTCTTTTGATTTTGGAGTACAATAGTAAGGACAACCTTTCTTCTTGGCTTAGAGGCTCAGGACTGAGATTTGTAGTCCTGTTTCTGCCATACCACAGGTTTAGTTCTGAGATGTTTCTCCTTCTCATTTTTCTGCCCTCTCAGCCTCCAGGTCATGGCTGTTTCTCTGGTATGATCAAACAAAATGAGAAATACAGGCCCAAATTGTTGGATCATTCATAGTAGGGAGGAATCTGGAATGAAGCTGTTAGATTTGGGGTATTTTAATCATTTCCTGAAGGTTGGCAGGTTCCCAAAGGGGTGATTTCTAGACGAATCAGGCAGGGTGCATTTGAAGAGAGGTCACTGCTTGTGCACACAGTTTTCATAGTTGGTCTCCAGAGTTGATGTTCCACTAACAGGTCCTTGAGACATTGACATTTCTCAGACACTTCTTTGTGACAACCCTAGTCGCTTTGGTCAAGTAAAACTTTCCTATTATCTGTACCCATGGCATAGTCTTCCACTGCTTTCAAGAAAACTAGTTTGCTCCTAACACAGGATGAAAAGCGAGAGGGGTGGAGAGGCAGGGGCTGGGAGGCAGTGTTGTCAGTCAAGAGGTCTGACTTCCTGTTCATTTATTTTGCTTGGTTTCGGTGCTGCCTGCTCTCTCTCCTCCACCTGTGACGGTGTTAAGGCCACAAACCCCAATTACTGAGTGGTTCTAACAACATGTCCTTCAAAGTCCGGCCAGGGATTGATCATAGCATCTGCCTAAGCTTACCATCAGGTCAAACACATTCATCCCTAGAATGATCTAAACAAAAAAGTGTATTTGGCTGCAGAATCTGAATATTCAGACAGAGGTTATTTTGGAAATGTTCATGTCAGGGGCTGACTGCCCTCTGCCTGGCTGAACTCTTGAGATGCTGACACAGGGTGGGAGCAACTCCACAGGCTGGGTGTTCCCAACCATAGCCTCAGAACCACCAACGCAGGGTCCAGCCCAGAGAGGTTTCAACTGGATGCGTGAAGCCCGGGCATTCGTATTTTTTAAAAGCTCTCCAGGTGATTTTATGTGTAGCCAGGAAGCAAAACTACCTGACAGCAGGATCCAGGGAAGGGGTATCCGAGGAGCTGGCAGGGAGCACGTAGCCCTATTGCTGCCTCCCAAGCCCTTTGGCATGAAGCCCCCTCCCCCTTCTTCCCTGCTTCATCAATTTTCCATTTTCTCCTGGATTGTTTCTATAACCACATAAACAAGCTCTGATTTCTCCCATTCTAAATAAAAGGCTTTCTTTATATTCTTTATACATCTTTCTTTAGTTTCGGCCCCATTTCCCTGCTCCCCTTTAGAGGAAAACTCCCTCAGACATGCTTTCTGTACATGCAATCCGATTTCTTTCTGTGCATTTTCTCCTAAACCCACTCTGTGCAGACATTCCCCCTCAGTACTGCACAGACACTGGCCCATCTTGCCATCTGGTCATGCCAGTTCCTTCAGGTCTCACCCAGTCACAGAAACGGGGAAGCTGGAGAAGCTGAACACAGGTGTTCCTGATGCACTCTGAGGGGCAGCACACCCCTCACGCAGCCCATAGGGGGCCTGGCAGTGTCGAGATTAAAGGTCAGTGGGCAGAATGCAAACCAGACAACGTTCCAGGGAGATGGAATGACAGCGAAGCCTTTGGTAAAAGGAAAGGTGATGACTTACACAGTGTGTGGTGGTGATGATGACAGAACTGGAGATGAAAGACAGGCCATCATTCATGCTGACCTGGAGTGCGGCTTTCCTGCAAAGACACCGAACCAGAGATACTCAGCGCGGTGTGCAGGGGGCCAGAACTGAACACCTTGGTCCCCTGTGGGCTCTGCTTGCAACTACCCTTGGCACTGCAGTCTCTTCCCCCGGGGGCCTGAGCGGTCTCCTTCGTAAAAAGTGGACCATGGTCTCTAGGGCTCCTCCCACCTCTCACATTCCAAGGAAATGTCAGGATAGGCTCGGGGCCATATCAAGGCTGTGCTGTCAGCCCTTTGTGTGTTGCAGCACATTGCGCTGCATGGGCAAAGCCTGCTTCCATTTAACTGACTTGTCACATTGTAGTAAGATGAAGGATTGGTTAAAAAAAAATGGTCCTAATCAAAGGGGCTACACTGATCAGGCTACAAACTTAATGTCTTGTTGTCATTATCTGGGTTCTCAGCGATCTGACTCTGGTGGGGGCAGCTCTGTTACCACCCAGCCAACCCAGACATGCAGTAATAGATGAGCGAATTTGCCTTCTACCTCCTCCCATCTATATAAGACTCACTGAATCAGGACCTGGCATTTTGCAGGATGGGCAAAAGGGTAGTTTGTGGAATCAATGAAATGAATGAATCACAGGCCAGTGTTAGGCAACCGGAGTGGCAGGCTCACAATTTGAATAAATGACTGAGCGCAGAATTTAGATGAACCAGTTTAGTATTTCTTCCTTAAAGTCACCATTCTAGCCCTGGCCAGTTTGGCTCAGCAATTGGGAGTGTCGGCCTGTGGTCCAGAGAGGCCTGGGTTTGGTTCCCGCTAAGGGCACGTACCTCGGTTGCAGTTTGTCCGCAGCCCTGGTTGGTTGTGCGGGTGGCAGCCACTCGATGTGTCCCTTTCATGTCAATGTTTCTCTCTCTCTCTCCCTCCCACTCTATCTGAACAAAAAATGGAAAAATGTCCTCGGGTGAGGATAAAAGAAACAAAAAACCCAGCATTCTATCTTCAGCATATTAAAGACTTGTTCAGGGAGAGGATAGTTTGTCTTCTCTCACAAACATTACTTCTCTGGTTCCCGCTTGTTTTTTTACTACTCAGGGTGCTAATTCTCTCTCTCTTTTTTCCTGGTGACTATTTTTATTTTTTATCTTCACCCAAGGACATTTTTACACTTTTGTTCAGATAGAATGGGAGGGTGAGAGAGGAAGAGTGGGAGAAACATTGACGTGAAAGGGACACAATGAGTGGCCGCCTCACTCACGACCCCAACTAGGGCTGGGGACGAATCGCAACCGAGGTACGTGCTCTTGACCGGTATCGAACCTGTGACTCATTGGTCCGCGGGCTGATGCTCTAACCGCTGAGCGAAACCGACCAGAGCTGGTGACTATATATATATATTTTTTTTTATCCTCACCCGAGGACATTTTTCCATATTTTGCTCAGATAGAGTGGGAGGGGGAGAGAGAGAGAGAAACATCGATGTGAAAGGGACATATCGAATGGCGGCCACCCGCACAACCCAACCAGGGCCGGGGACAAACTGCAACTGAGGTACGTGCCCTTAGCGGGAACCGAACCCAGGTCTCTCTGGACCGCAGGCCGACGCTCTAACCGCTGAGCCAAACCGGCCAGGGCATGGTGACTATATTTTTTAAAAAATCACATTTCAGTAGCACTTATTATAATTGTACTATCACGAGGTTTCCCCGTAAGTTAGTTCAGGGAGCCTTGTGCAGTTTGGGTGAACACCGCATGCTTCACAGAGGCACAGAGGATGGAGCACCGAGGTTGGCCTCAGATGGTCTGAATCTGGGCCTTGAACCACCTGTGCACCCACTTGACCTTTCTGAATTTCCTTATCTCTAAGGTGGATTATCACCTGGCAGGGCAATGATGATGACTGAGCAGAGTAATGCATGTGAGAGTGCTCTGGGAAGTGTGAGAGCTTCTTGGAATGCAGTTGTGATTAAACCAGACAGACCTTGGTTTCAGCCCAAACTCTTCCATTTAATGCTGTGTGACCTTGGGCAAGCTACTTACATTCTCTCAGCCACAGATTCCACATCTGTAAAACTGGGAAGATGTGAGTATCTTGTTTGTCGGAAACTTGGGAAGATGAAGTGAGATACCCTTTGTAAAACATCTATCCTGCGGCCTGGCTCACTGTATCGCTCATCATCACTGCTTGGAGGAGTCTAGAGAAAGGCCCCATTATGAGAGTGAAGAGAGAGACTTCTTTCTTTTCCCTTTGTCCCCTCTCCTCTCCTCCCCGAGGTTCAGTTGCGGGTAGAAACTTACATGCCAACTTCTTTTAAGATAGGTGCTGGACACAGCAAATAAGTATCTTCCACAGCAAAGGGCTTCTCATCTGTAAAAAGGAAGTCACTGGGTTAAGAGGAGTGAGGCAAGTTTATAACTTCAAATTCGGTGACTCCTGAAGATCATCAGCCAAGTCCTGGGAGACACTGGAAAAGCAGTAACTCTTGGAAATAGAAACTCATCTTGAGCTGTAAAATTCACTAGAGTGAACTCAAGGTCTCCTGCCTGAATATTAGTCCCAGACCCTGTACGCGCAGTTGAATCCATCGATGAGCAAATAAAGACCAAGTTCTTACCATAGAGCAGGAATAATTGAGGAGAAATGAGAAAATATTAGACTGATCTTCAGGGGTCTAAGTCTTGTTTGAGAGAAAAGCCCTTATTCATGGAAAAAGTTCACTGACAAACACAAGAAGTAGTTAAGCCAAAACAGCATTGACTTCCAAAGACAGAGAGCTCCATTTAGGTGGGTGATGTGGTGAGTCACAGGGAACATAAAACTTGAGCCATGTTTCAGGGAGAGATGGGGAAGAGGCATTTCTGATGGGAGCAAAGACACAGTGAACCAAAAGTATGTTCCAGGGCAGGACATAAATAGGATTTGAAAAGATCAGGATAGGAAGAAGTTTGGTCCAAGTTATTTGAGTTAGACTGAGGGATTTGGGCATAGGTGTATTGTCTATGAAAAAAATGTTGCAGGTTTTTGGAGAAAAACTCGAAAGGATGAGTTTTAGAAGTTTTCATAGCTATAGCTGTGAGAGATGGATTAGCATAGGGGCATTCAGGAGGTGGGGAACTTCTTGCTCTTATCCTGGGAGAAAGAAGTTGGGAAAAGCTTAAACAGCTTGAATCAGGAACTCCTTAATTTCACTGGGTCCCAGATTCTGGGACCAGAAGCAAGACTGAAGAGTTACTAAGCTCAGCACATAGTAGTCATTCCTTCATATACTGTATAAAGAATGTGAATGTTGAACTATAGTATATATACACAACATAGTATACCCACAAACACACTATATTCCAACATTTATTGGGTACATACTCTGTATAAAAGACAGTGATAGGACCTGTAGATGATACAAAGATGAATAATATGTGTCCCTTTAATCAAGCTGTGAATACAAATACCTACACTAGAAGACAGAAAGAATATGTGTATATATAATTCAAGACCATAGAGCAGGCATAATTTCTGCCACTGAAATTTGTTGTAAAGTTGATGTCTCTTAACGATATCTGAATGTGGCTGACACCACACACTTGCCCGAGTGGAGATTAGAAGAGCCCGTGCCTTCCATGCCTGGATTTAAGGAGCAGAGATACCTGGGATAGGAGTTAGAAGATACATCTGTGTTCTGAGCACTATGTCCTCATGGAAAGAAGAGGAAGAGAGTGGTCAATTACAGTATCTCCCCGATGTCTGGGGAAATTATCAGTATGAAAAATTAGGGAAGTTATTACATGTTATCCACACATTCATCCACCCTTCCACCCTTCCACCCATCCACCCATCCACCCATCCATCCATCCATCCATCCATCCATCCATCCATCCATCCACCCATCCACCCATCCACCAAATATTTATTGAAGGACTACTATGATGTAGAAAGGCAGCCTTTGAGAAAAGAAACAAGGCCTCTGTTGCCATAGGATTTGATAGGAATTGCCGGGGAGATACTTATTAAACACATTCATTTTTATTAAACAATATTCTTTTGAATGTCTCCCATATGCCAGACGCTGTGCTAGGCCTCACACTGAACAAAAGAGATGAAGCACCTCACTTAAGGGGCTGACATGCTAGTGATTACACAAATTGCTATTTAATTATAATTGTGGTGATAACAAAGAAGGAGAAGGAGGAGGCTGGCTCTCATCTGGAAGGTCAGGAACTGCCTCCCTGAGGAAAAGCTGCAGAGGGTGAAGGTCAGGTGAAGAGGAGATAGAGCGGGAGAGAGGCAGCACTGCAAAGGTCCTGGGGCAGGAAGGAGCTAAATGGGAGCCAACGAGGCTGTAGAATTTGAGTGAGACAATGGCTCACCACGAGGCTAGAAAAGACCGCAGGACCAGATGACCGAGGCCTTGGAGGCCACACTGGGGCTTTCAGGATGTTTCCTAAAAGTAACAGGAAGTTCTTGGAGGTTTCCCCTAGATTTAGAATTAGCATTGGCAGATTATGGAATGGTGCCAGAAAGGTGAAGGTGTGTTGAGTAAAACTGTGACTCCTATGATGACAGTGGTCCATCATCTGGTGCCTGAACTGAGTGTCATTGCTTTCAAGATGTTTTCTCGTCTATGATGACAATGATGACAATGATGACAGAGATACTCCCGGGCAGACCAAGTGCTTCACATACCAAATTTAACCTTCTAGAGTGCTATCAGGGAAGAATGTTATTCCTTTCATTTTATTTAAAAATTTTTTTAAAGGCTTGGGAGGTCAGCTATTTTTTTTTTTTTTTTTAATTTTAGAGAGAGAAAGAGGAAGGGAAGAGGGAGCGAGAGAAACATCAATGTCGATTGGTTACCTCCTGTCCTCACCCCGACCAGGGATTGAACCTGTAACCTGGGCATGTGCTCTGACTGGGAATCAAACCCATGATCCTTTGGTGCAGGGGACGATGCTCCAACCAACTGAGCCACACTGGCCAGGGCTAGTCCCTTCATTTTAAAGGCGAGGAACAGACATGGAGAGATGAAGTAACTTGCCCAATGTTACAAAGGCGAGCTCGGATCCATATCCAGGCAATCCGGTTGCCATCTCTAGATAAGAGCCATGCTTTATTTCCTCCTCACAATGACTTTGTGAACTAAGAGAAGGTTCATCAGGCTCATTTTCCAGATGCAAATGGAGGCTCAGAGAGGCAACAGGGGTCCATGGTAGCACAGCAAATCAGAGGCGCAGCCAGCACTAGACCTGAATTCTCCACTATTCTTTCCTCACCAAGAGCGTCTCCATCCCGGGAAAGGCTTCTGGAGAATAAACCGAAATCGGGACAGGAGTGGCCGACTAGAACCTACACTTATTTTCTTTTGGCCATGGCTTATCCTACTCTACAAGCACCAGTAATACCTGGGAGTGCAGATCGCTGCCCACGGAGCCTGCCCACAGAGCCACAGAGCGGCCACAGAGCAGCCACAGAGCGGCCACAGCAGGCCTCGTGACTCCCGGCTGAATTCTGTGGGAAGCGCTGGGCTACGCCGAGGGCCTCCGAGTCAGCCACTGCAGGGACGTGCCGGGGACACTCCAGGGCCTGGCATGCCCACATCCTGTGTTAGTGCCCACGCTCACTTCCAGGGCTTCTCTGCAGCTCCTCTCCCTTCTCTCCATCCCAACTGGGAAGGAGGGAAAGCATGAGATTGGCTTCGTCTACTAGACATTTCTCTTTCTCCCTCCTTTCATTTTCCTTTCTTGCCTGGGAGTCCAAGTATTTCTGGAGCAAAGCAGAGGAGAACCTGGCTGGGGGGACCGAGGACCTCGCCGCGGCTGCAGGACGGACTCCACACAGCCTGCTGTCAGTTCATCGGCCTCTGAGCTGTGGGCCTGCTCTGGGGAGCTGGCATTTTCTGCTCAGAGAGATTGTTTGGTTTGGAGCCTGTTTTCACTTTACCACAAAAATGAGTGACTTTTTTCCCCTCTCTTTCCAAACAAAGGAAGGCCATTTGGTTTCCATAACTCAGATCATCTGACTCCTTCCTGGAACATCCACATGGGAAGCAGGGCACAGAGCCTTCCTCCTCGGCTGGGCCACGTTTGGTTCAGGTGCCAGGCCAACCTCGCTGCCACCTCAGCCAAAGCCAGTGGTGTTGTGATGTTTCTGGGACCATGATCCTCTCCGAAGATGACTAAGGCCTGAGCTCCTCTGTGCACCGGGCAACCATTTCACCGAGCGGTAGCACCGAGTGGGCAGAGCAAAGCAGGACCAGGGGCTAAGACCGGCGCTTGGCTTGTTTGCAACTGGGAGGAAATTGGGTGGGGCAGGAGTTTAAAACCGGAATTTAAGGGAGTTTTTTGATGATGTGTAAATATTCAGAATTCAGTGCATACTCATGACAGGTTAATCTGAAGCATTTGTTTGTAAGAGTTTGATAATCAAACAGAAGCTTGATTTAAATAAGGATTTGGGGAACAATAAATGTCATTATGCCAAACAGCCAAACACCCCACGTTTGAGAACTGGCATCCCTGAGCATGAGTGCAGAAGGGAGTAGGGTAGACTTCAGAGTCAAGCAGATCCAGGTTCAAATTCCAAGTCTTCTTAGTGGGTGACTGGGAACAAACTGCTCATCTGAAAACGGTGATGATGACATCACTGTTGGGGGTTGTGTGGGGAGTAAATAAGAGTGCACGAAAGTTCAAACCATGTTACTTGGCACTTAATAAACATCTAGTAAATGTTCTTTCACATTATTACATGAGCATCCATACCTTTAAAATAGTCTATGTGAATGTGTGCTTCAAAATCAGAGGAACTAAAGATTAAAATTTCCAAAATCTCTGATTGCTTAATTATATTGTTCTATCAAACTAACATCTTTTTAGGCATTATGAGTTCCTAGGAAAACATAACGTTTTAGTGGATATGTGTGTGTACATACACACACACACACACACACATACACACACACACACATATACATACAATCACACATACATCCGTATCCACCATTAAGTTTATATCTATCTATATCTATATCTATATCTATATCTATATCTATATCTATATCTATATCTATATCTATATCTATATCTATATCTATATCTATATCATCTATATCTATCTATATCTAGCTAAATCATCTATATCAGTGATTTTCAACCAGTGTGCCGTGAGAATTTTTAAAATGTACAATACCTGACTATTATAGTCAGGGTCACTGACCTCTTTTCCCTGAGACTATCAAATAAGAAAAAATGACAACAGTCAACATCACAATAGCCATCCGATGTGAGTGAATCAAAGTGATACCTATTTTTTGTCAGATCAGTAAAAAAATATATTTTTTGGCATACTGCAAAATTTTAGTAATTCGTTTATGTGTGCCA